CTCCTCCTGCTCTTGAGGCCGATTGGCTGGGTCACGTGGGCGGAGCCAAAAAAAGTCCCCCAATGAGCAGCTCCGTAGTCTGAAAGGGCAGGGAAACAGCCCAATGAGCATCACCGCAGAGGAGCCAATCAGCTAGAAGTTGCTGGGGCGCTTCAGCTGTGGCTCTCAACAGCCATGCTAATGAAGAAAAGGAGAGAGAAAACTCAAATTACTAATATCTGTGATGAAAAAAGGAAATATCATGACAGACACTACAGAAATACAGAAGATAATTAGAAATTATTTTGAAAATTTTTACTCCAATAAAAGAGAAAATATCAAAGTCATCAATAAATTTCTAGAGTTATATGATTTGCCAAAATTGAATCAGGATCATATCCACAAGATAAACAGATCAATTTCAAGCAATGAAACAGAAGACGCCATCAAAGCCTACCAACCAAGAAAAGCCCTGGACCCAGTGGTTACCAGCTGGGTTCTACAAGACCTTCAAAGAACTAATACCAACACTCCTCAAGTTATTTCATGAAATAGAAACAGAGGGAGCACTTCCAAACTCATTCTATGAGGCCAATATCACCCTGATTCCAAAACCAGACAAAGACGCATCAAAGAAAAAAAACTTCAGATCAATATCTCTAGTTAACACAGATGCAAAAATTCTCAATAAAATTCTAGCAAATCAAATACAAAAACATATCAAAATGATAGTGCACCACGATCAAGTGGGGTTCATTGCAGGGATGCAATGTTGGTTCAACATACGGAAGTCAATAAATATAATTCATCACATCAATAGACTTAAAGAATTATATGATCATCTTAATAGATGCAGAAAAGACATTCAACAAAATACAGCACCCCTTCATGTTCAAAACACTAGCAAAACTAGGGATAACAGGAACTTATCTCAATATTGTAAAAGCTGTCTTTGCTAAGCCCCAGGCCAACATCATTCTAAACAGAGAAAAACTGAAGGTATTCTCTCTAAAAACTGGAACAAGACAGAGCTGCCCTCTTTCACTACTTCTTTTTAACATAGTCTTAAAACTCCAGCCAGAACAATTAGACACACAAAAGAAATTAAAGGGATATGGTTAGGAAAAGAAGAATTCAAACTATCACTATTTTACAATGATATGATTCTATACCTAGAAGATCAAAAAAATTCCACCAGAAAATTTCTAGAACTAGTAAATGAATTCAGCAAAGTAGCAGGATACAAAATCAATACTCATAAATCAAAGGCAAATATTTCTGTATATCAGTGACAAATCCTCTGAAAGGGAAATGAGGAAAACTACCCCATTTATAATAGCATCAAAAAATACTTGGGAATCAACAAAAGAGGTGAAAAGACCTCCGTGATAAAAACCACAGAATGCTAAAGAAAGAAATTAAAGAAGACCTTAGAAGATGGAAAGATCTCCCTTGTTCTTGGAGAGACAGAATTAATATTGTCAAAATGACCACACTACCAAGAGCATTACACAGATTTAATGCAATTCCAATTAAAATCCCAATGACATTCCTCATAGAAATAGAAAAAGCAGTCATGAAATTCATCTGGAAAATAAGAGTCCCAGAATGGCTAAAGTAATCCTTAGCAAGAAGAGTGAAGCAGGGGGCATCACTATATCAGACCTTAAACTATACTGCAGAACAACAACGAAAACAACATGGTATTGGCACCAAAATAGACTGATAGACCAATGGTACAGAATAGAGGACACAGAGACAAACCCAGATAAATACAGTTATCTCATACTAGACAAAGGCACCAAAAACATACATTGGAGAAAAGATAGCCTCTTCAACAAATGGTGCTGGGAAAACTGGAAATCCATCTGCAGCAATATGAAATCAATCTCCTATATCTCACCATGTACAAAACTCAATTCAAAGTGGATTAGGGACCTAGGAATTAAACCAGAGACCCTGTGCCAAACAGAAGAAAAAGTAGGCCCAAATCTTCATCATGTCAGATTAGGCCCCAAATTCCTTAATAAGACTCCTATAGAACAAGAAATAAAATCAAGAATCAATAAATGGGATGGATTCAAATTAAAAAGCTTCTTTTCAGCAAAAGAAACAATCAGTGAGGTGAATAGAGAGCCTACAGAATGGGAGCAAATTTTTTACCACACGTTCATCAGAGAGAGCACTAACCTCCAGAATATATAAAGAACTCAAAAATCTTAACACCAAAAAACAAATAACTCAATCAATAAATGGGCCAATGAACTGAAAAGACACTTCTCAGGAGAGGATATACAATTAATCAACAAATATATGAAAAATGTTCATCATCACTAGCAATTAGAGAAATGCAAATCAAAACTTATTCCAAGATTTCATCTCTCTCCAGTCAGAATGGCAGCTATTATGAAGACAAGCAACAATAAATGTTGGTGAGGATGTGGGGGGAAAGGTACACTCACACATTGCTGGTGAGATTGCAAATTGGTGCAGCCAATATGGAAAGCAGTATGGAGATTCCTCGGAATACTGGGAATGGAACCAGCATTTGACCCAGCTATCCCACTCCTCAGTCTATACCCAAAGGACTTAAAAACAGCACACTACAGGGACACAGCCACATCAATGTTTATTGCAGCACAATTCAGAATAGCTAAACTGTGGAACCAACCTAGATGCCCTTCAGTGGATGAATGGATAAAGAAACTGTAGTGTATATATACAATGGAATATTACTCAGCATTCAAAGAGAATAAAATCACAGCATTTGCAGGTAAATGGAGTTGGAGATTATGCTAAGTGAAGTTAGTCAATCCCAAGAAGCCAAATGTTTTCTCTGATATGTGGCTGCTGATCCATAGTGGGGATGCAGGGGGGCATGGGAAGAATGGAGGAACTCTAGACAGGGCAAAGGGGAGGGGGAAGGGAGGGGGCATGTGGGTAGGAAAGATGGTGGCATGAGATGGGCATCATTACCCTAAGTACATGTATGAAGACACGAATGGTGTGACTCTTTGTGAACCACCAGAGATATGAAAAATTGTGCTGTTTATGTGTAATAAGAATTGTAATGCATCCTGCTGTCATAGATAACAAATTAGTATAAATAATTAAAAAAAAAAAAAAGAACAAAGGTGAGCTGACAGACTGGACTAGTGACTGAGCCATGCAAGCCGTAGAGTATTTATCTGGCCACCTGCTTCACTCTCATGGCTAGATTTTGAGAAGCTGGTCCCGGTTCCCCATGGGCGTCAGAAGCACCCTCCTCCAGGTGTCTTCTCAAACCCTCTGCTGCTGGGCACAAAGCCTTAACTCTGTGACACCAGTACCCTGCTCTTGCCCTCCTTGCAGATCAGTGAGCCACATTCAAGCAGGTCAGGTCTTGTGACCCAAAGCAAGGTCCAGGGCCTGGCACACAGTAGGTGCTCAGTAGATGGTTACTGTATAACACACAAGCCCACTTAGGAATTAAGAAATACAGACCTCTTAATTCTTCATATATATATATATATATATGTCTTAGGAAATTTTATTGATTTGATCCAGAACTTAATGTTATAGAGTTCATATTATGTTTATATTTTAAATTTAAACTTATATCCATGTAATTTTCAAATCAAAATTTCTATGATTGATTTTCAGATTTCATGTGGATTTTATTTTTTGGCTTTCATAATTTTAAGTAAAAAACCCCAGAACTTTCCTTGAACTTGTATTGCCAACATAACGGAGTTTTTTCCTGGCATAGGAAGGTTGGCAGAGGCCTGGCTCTAGGGGATCTCCTCAGGTGGGAAGTTGCAGGCTCAAAATTGAAGCTCTAAGCCCCAATTCCAGTTTCCCTTGAGCCCTGAAAACCCCATCTCCTCTCAGCTCAGTGGCACCCCCAATACTGTCACTCACACACACACACACACACACACACACACACACACACACACCCTGCCCCGGCTCACACTCATCCTCATCTTTGTGGGGCGCCTCTCCAAAGGAACAGAGGAGACTCTCTGGGCTCTCTGAGGACTAGAGTAGGCTGCCAGGCAATGTGAGACCCAGAGAGGGACCGGATGGGAAAAACCCCAGGGTCCCAGTTTGAGAAAACTCCTGTAGTTTCAGGGGGTATTTCAGGAAACTCCTCCTCATCAGGAGACATCTCCTCACCGCCCCCTGGTGGCTAGTCCAAGCACTGCTCCCCTGCCTGTGACATTCTCCCCTTCCACCCSCCTCCAGCCAGTGAGCCGACTCAAACCACTGGGAACAACAGGATTGATTGGAGGACTGGGGAGGAGGAGGAAACAGCATCCCAGGGCTGGGAGAAGGCAGAGTTTGCTGTCTTTAGCAATAAAGACCTGGTCAGGGAGGTGATATGAATCAGGTCAGAAAAAGATAATTAAGAAGATCATCTCACGGCCCTGAGCAATCTGGGAAGAAAGAAACTTGGGATCTCCCACTTTTTAAAGTCAGCTACTTTAACACTTATTGGCTTCTCAAAATCTCAAAAAACAATAGGAAAAGGGCAGGACTCGAGCCAGAAAGGACGCTTCCCTCATTCCAGTGATCTTCTCAAGCCCACAGAAGCAGTAGGCTAGGAACCAGCAGCTGGAAAAGCTGGCCTGCCCCGCCACACAATCCAAAAGGCCCCAGGGAAGGCCTTGTGTTCTCTGTTGGTTTCTAGAGGCTGAAGCTCGGAGGGGTCCATGGATTAGCTGCAAGAAAGACTGTGAATGAGGTGACATTCTCCTTGGATCCGTGGAGAGTAGATCCTCCTGAGTCTGTTGCTCCCTGCAGTTGCTGGAAAGGAGGAGGAGGAGGGGTGGGCAGAGAGAGGAGTTGGCATCTTCGTGTCCAGGTTGAGGGTGTCACTTCTGCTCTGGTGGGCATTTCTGCTGGCAGGGAGCATGCCGCACAGGAGGGCACTTCTGCTGGCTCAGGGGTGGCAGGCAGGGCTCAGGCACCTGGGGAGGGCAAGGTTGTGGGACCTGGGGAGGACAGGGCTCAGGGACCTGGGGAGGAGGCTGGCAGGGGACTTTGCACTGTTGCTGCTGCTGAGAAGACATCCTTCCTGAGTTGACAAAAGACTGCAAGAAACAGGGAACAGGCATTTTTAGCTGGGACAGCTGCATATGCTTATCTGTGACATTCTCCCCTTCCTCCCCCCTCCAGCCAGTGAGCCGACTCAAACCACTGGGAACAACAGGATTTACTGGAGGAGTGGAGAGGAGGAAACAGCATCCCAGGGCTGGGAGAAGGAATTACCTCTGCTTCTACCTACCCTGGCCTTCGTTCTCAGAGACCCCAGCCTTCCCGTCATGCTACTGCCACGATGCCCAGACCCAGAGCGTAATCATGGATGGCAACAAAATGTTCTCAAGTGGCCTGCCTATAGACAAGCCTCACCCAGAGAACTGGGGCCCTCCTGGGCACTGTCATTTTAAGAAGAACATGCTCACAATAGATCAGGGGAAGGAAAATAGGAATGGCCTGAAAATAAAATACGATATCATGAAAGACATGGGGATGCTCATCTTGGGAAGAAAAATGGGGGAGGCAATAATGCAGGTGTGTTCTCTTCGAGGGCTGCCCCTCATGGGGAGCAAGACCAGCCCTTGGTCTGCAGCATGGGAGGGAGCAGTCAGGAAGGAGGTCTGTCCATCCTGGGCTGGCCCAACATGGGACCCCTGTGCAGGAATTGTTTTTATAGAATCAAAAAGTTTCAATGAAGTACTAATTGACCTTAAAGTCGATTAATACAGAGATTCCAGCAGAAGTGACACTGTGTTCTACAAGTTTTTCCACTCTTTGGGTCTGCAGGCCCACAACCCACAGCAGACATTTCTCTCTCCCTGCTGACTTTCTCTGCTCTGTGTCTCCCCTCTGAACTCTCTGGTCTCAGTAGTAAGTGCCCATAGTACTGGGCAAGTACTCAGAAGTAAGGACCAAAGGCGATAGATCCCTCTCTGTCCAGATGCCTAGAACACATCACATCCCTTCATAACCAATGTCTGATGCCATCTCATGCTGCAAACAGGGGCAAGAAGCTCTATGGAAAACCACCATCCAGGATGAATTGGGGTCTACGAAAGAGACATTACAGGTCCAATTCAACTCCTGTGATCTGGGACACAGCCTAACTAATATGGGACCTCTCTCACATTAAAAGGAAGACCCCCCCTCACATTCCATCCATCAGGTGAGTTGCTCACCTACTGCACGCTCACCACCTCTCTTTCTTTCTGTAACTATTCTCCTGTGGGTTCACTGGGTTTTCCCATCCCAGCCTGTCTGTCAATCTGTCTCTCCTTCCTACTCCACATCCATAAATCCTCTGTTTCCGTAAATCCTCTCCACCTATGAAATTGCTTCATTGTCTGAAAAAATGATGTCAGTCCATAGGTTGTTGTTAGGCCAATTCACTCACCTGCTTCTCCTCCTGCTCCAGGACCAGGGATCCAAGTGACACAGATAGGGCCACATTGGTCCCTTTTATTTTAGGTGCAGCCGGGGAAGAGGAAATAGAGGGGGATGTCCCACCAGACTCCTAGTTCTTCTAGATCTCACTCTCTTCCTGAAAACAGCTGCAAAATCCCCACACGGACACTAAAAATTCCAGTTTGGCGGCTACCTGGCAGTTAACCACATTTTCAAGCACCCGGAAGTACTTCCTCGGGGTGTGAGAGAATTAGATTCTCATAACTTTCCTCAATTGTCCCTGGAATCATCAGTCATCAGGCAGGATGGGTGTGGGGGACGTAAGGCCTCTCTCTGTGAATAGTAATACCTTCTCCTTCTCATATTTCTAGGGTCTTCCAGGTCTCAAATTCAAGTCTCATAGAGAAAGGAACAATTGTCATTTTTTGCTAGTTTTTAGCCCAGCCAGGAGTAAGTCAGAGTCACAGACATTTATGAACTCTCTTCTGTGTGCTGATTACTATTCCAAACACCGGAACACAGAGCATCTCTAACTTTAAGGCACTTGTATTTCAATGCGGAGGGCAGAACATAAACATGACCTACATAAAGAATAAGCCATGCCGTGTAAGGCACCTTCCGTTGTTTCTGATTGCAGGATCTCACTTCCCAGACCGGCAAACACTTGACAAAACCAGACGCTGAGCTGAACAGTCAAGTTGGCAGCTTCCCCTTAGTGACAAGCCTCATATTTCCTCTGCAAGGGCCTTCTGCAGGCAGAGATCTCCGAGGAGTTGGACAGATGTGAAGGAAGAAGGGGGTGCCCTGGGGGCCTGAGCCTTCTGGCACCAAGACCCAGTTTTACTCTCTTACCATCTTCTCAGAATCAATGAGGTCACAGACAACCCCAAACTACCGCACCTCTGACACCGAGCTTGATGTAGGTGTTCATCTGGGTCATTTTGGAAACGGTTCATGGTGCCAGGCGATGGGCCAAGAGTGAGCACAGGTTKGTGAGGGCAGCCCAGCCCCTGCCCAGAACCCGCAGGCCAGTAGGAGGAGCACAGAGAGGAGTAAACACACAGTAAGACGAGACATGGACAAACCATAAAATTAGAACCAAAAACCAACCCCAGCGTGGGGCAGATTTGTCTGAGGAGGGTGTGAAAGGGTGAACGGCCTGGACATGGCACTGCTGCCTACCTAGGCCTCCCTCGGGGCAGCAATGCCCTGCAGAGCTGGCCCAGGTTTCAGAGCCCAGCCTCCGTCCTTCCTCAGAGCCCCACGTGTCTCCCCTCCTCTGCAGCCACCCCTGAGGTGATTCCCCCTTTCATCCCTCTTCCTCCAAGCCTCCCTGGGCGGATCCAAGGAGCTGGACCGACCCCTCTTCTCACAGCCGCGTGGTCATGCCGCAAAGGAAGCCAGCACTTTCACTGACCTTGCTGAGCCTTGTAACTGCCTTCTGGCCCCCAGCTGCAGGCTCAGAGCCACACCCTGTCTGGGAGGATCTTGCAGGAGTGCAGGAGGGGGGAGGGCAGACCGTCCTGGCCGGCTCTGAGAAAAGTACTCAGTCAACAGTGATCCGGAAATCTGGGGCCAAAATCTCCACAGAGTCCTGAGCTTCATGAATAGTTCTTAATCCTTGAAAATCATAAAGAAAATCAACTCTGAAAGGTCAAAATTGGGTGACCCATACCAAGTATCAGAAGAAGACGGAGAAGAGACAGCACCTTGTTTTGAACTTCTCTATGTTGTCAGGCCATAAAACCAAAGACCAGAGCTGTCCGTGGAATTAAGAACCCCAAATGCAGTGCTTCCGCAGTGTCAATAAGGAAAAGGGAAAAGTGCAGGGCAGGCCCAGAGTCACTTCCAGAAGTTATACATTCTAGTCTTGCTGTTCCACTAGGCTTGACCCTGGAATTCGTGGTGTGTGTGTGGGCATCTAGCAGGGGGGAAGGGTTAGGTCACGGTAGCCAGATAATGGGTCAAACATTACTCTAGATGTTTCTGTGAAGTTATTTTAGATGGGATTAACATTTATATCAGTAGAGTCTGGGTAAAGCAGATTGCTCTCCCTAACGCAGGTGGTCCCTGTCCAGTCAGCTGAAGACCTGCATAGAAAAGACTGACCTCCCCCAGGGGAATTTGTCAGCAGACCAGCTCTGGGTTTGAACTGCTTCTCTTCCCTGGGTCTCTAGCTTATCAGTGGTACCCTCAAGATTTTGGACTTGTCAGCCTCCACAATCATGTGAGGCTCATTCATTGATCATTCATTCCTTACAATGGATCAATAAGAAACTATAGGTATATAATACATATGCCAATCTATATGCACATACATCATATTGGCCCTATTTCTCTGGAGGACCCCCAACTAATACACCTACTGGAAATAAAAGGTGGAGAGGCAGGTGTTTGTCGAGTGATTACAAGGAGACTTGGTCACCACCCAGAGGCAGCAGCGCGGGATGTGGAGAGATGAGTAAGTGGAGCCCATCACCATGATGGCCTTCCGTCTGGGGTTTCCACACTCAAGTAGACTGCTTTTCTGTAGCCTGAGAGGACAGGTGGGGACTGACACATGTGAAACCCTTGTCTCTCCGACGTGTCCTTCCGGAGGAGAAGGAATGCCCTTACTCACCAGGCAGTACCAAACACGGGTTTTCTGCACAGAGGAGTTGACAGGTGTCTCCAGATCTAGAGAGCTACACCTAGAGCCAGGAAGCTGGGAGAAGGGGGTCCCTGTGGTTCCCCAGCCCAGGCTGAATTCATAACAAAAGAGCCAGGGACAAACTTCCCCCACCCACTTGGAACCATCTTCTCAGGACAGGTGTGCTGGAGAGGAGCTGAGTGACATGGCTCAGCCCTGTACCTGCCCACGGCCTTTGGAACTGCAGACAGAGTTGCAGATGGTGGGCCTGAACTGTTTATCAAGGGTTTAAGGGAATGGAACCATTAATTTTGGTAAAAATGGATGAAATTAATGGATAGATACTCATGCATCTTATGAATGGAACTAACAGAGATTTTTCCCTGAGAAATTTAAAGATCATTTACTCTCATTAAAAGTGTTTCGGGTGAGAAAAATGCACAACCAGAAATGCAAAGCAATTTATCCAAAGTCCCAGGGAGAATACATGGCAGTTTGGGATAGAACCAGTGGCTAAATGTCCCCATTTTCAGTCCAGGGCTCCTTCTTTTTTGCTTAGCTTAGATAGCAGCACATGAAAAACAATAAAATGGACTTAAGTACAACCAATAAGTTTAAAAGTTAATAATAATAGTGTTAAAAAACCGAGATCATGGACTCCTTCGTTCCAGGGTTAGGAGGTCAGTTATGAGGCTCCTTACAGCCTGGCTGAGGGGACGGGAGGACAGAAGTGAGAGCAGCCTCATCAACTGTAAGCTTCCTGGAAAAGAGCTGAGCAGAGGAGGAGGTGGGGCTGTAACCACAGGGGAAAGGGACAGAGACTGGACCAGAGGAGGAGGTGGACACTGGACTGATGAGGGCAGACCCAGAGACTCCTCAGTCAGGACAACCAGGAGCCCCCCCGGGGACACTGGTAACACCCCCCTCCTCAACAGAAAGAAGCTTAGTGGGTCTCCGTCAAGGGGTGCAAATCAGGGTTGGGGACCCTTCCTCTGTCCTCGATCCCATGGAAGACACTTCTGATCACATCTAACGAGGTCGCTCTGATCTTTCTGCTGGAAATTTCTGTTTCTAAAGTGGGCTGACTTCCAGGTATTGACAGGACGCCCTTCCTCGAACCCCAGCCCCAGCCACACCATCTTCTCTACCCCTGGGTGGCTCATGGCTCTTCAGTCCCCACACACACCRTGCTACAATCTCTGACTCGTCTCTCGGTGTCTTCTTCTGTTGTAGGGACAAACGAGGCAAGGCACTGAAAATAGCAGGGAACAGTTTTATTTGGCTGCAGCCAGGTTCAGGGGGCACAGCTTTTGCTGTAATCCATCAATCCCCTGAACCCCAGGGAGTTTCAGAGTTTTATACCCAGCGTGTAAGGGGAGGGGCTCAGAAGTTCACAGTCTGCAGAAGTTCACATAAAAGCAGCTTTTTCTTTCACTGTTCTGGGCAAGTTAACCCTTCAAGGACCACACCTGAGAAGGGGAGAGCTTCTTCTCCCCTTCCTTTCCTCCCCTGCCAGCTGTTACCATGGAGCCCAGTTGTAACTTATCTTAAAAATGCAGACATCTCTGTGAAGCCCAGCTCAAGGCCAGAGGCCTTGTTGGCACATTTCTTCAAAGTACTATACTGGATACGTTTGTGAAAAACTAAGGGGTGTCCAGCACCTGGAGTGCTGGATCTTCTCAGCCAGTGGCCAAGCTAAACAGGGCAACAGGAAAATAGGAAATTTATCTACATTGGACTCTTTTGCTGACAGTCCTAAAATCAGCCATGGTGAAGAGGGCTTTTCTGTGGAGAAAAGGGGTGCCACTTCACTTCCTTTGGATGGGCAATGAGCCCTCACTACCACCTGCCTCCCTGGGAAACTCATCCCTTTAATTCTGACAATCTTGGGACATGTTAAGCCCACTTACAGGAGAAGTTCGCCTCTCTTCACACGGCACAACTTGGGGCCAGAAGTCTCTCTGACGTAAACCCTCTGCCTCCTGCTCCACCCTGGCACCCTGAAGCTCAGCTCCTAGCCCCCTCCCCTGAACTAGGCACCATGCAAGTGGCAGGGCCCCAGTGGGCCACACCTGGAGTTTTCCACTGAGCAGAGGGTCCTGAGGAATTTCCTCCCGTGGCAGCTCTGCCATTGCTGGGTGCTGCAGAGGTTGTATCTGTGCCTGAAAGTTTATTGGGAAAGTTGGTCCTGAGGGACAGGATCGAGCTGAGGGGGGTTAATGGAGAAGCTACCAAAACAGAGCAAACAAAATGGTTGAAAACTTTTATATGCTATTTCCTACAGATTCTCTTCAACCAAGAAAGGATGTCCCGCCAGCAACAGCAACAATGCAAAATCCCCGGCCAGCCCCCTCCCAGGGTGCCTGAGCCATGTCCCCCCAAGATGCCTGAGCCCTGTCCTCCCAAGGTTCCTGAGCCCTGTCCACCACCCCCCAGCCAGAAGAAGTGCCCCTCTGTGCAGCGTCCCCCATGCCAGCAAGAATGCCCACGGAAGCAGAAGTGACGCCTTTGAAGCCACCCTCATCCCGACCTGGACATGAGGCAGCTGGACTCTCTCCCTCTCACTGCGACTCTACTTCCACCCAAATCGTGAAACGATATGCAGCCCAGAAAAGGTCACTTCTCCTCCCACTCCAGGTGAATTCTGAAGCCTCCACAGTTCATCAACCAGATTGTCCCCTCCACCCCACAGGCAGCAGATTGGACAGCTGTGGCACCTTCTTGGGGCGCTCCTTCCAGCCAGGACAGGCCTGTGCTTCTCTCCTTGCCACCACCTGCAGACCCATCCTTCCATGGCTGCACCCTTTACCCACAATGCTGCGGGCCCTTCCCTAGGGCATCCACCCCAGGAGACTGAAAGGAACCCCCGGGGGGAGAACAAACAAGGAGATCTTCAGATTTCCCACAGAAAGACAGGACGCGCCTAAAGGAGTTCACAGTTCACCTGAGAAGCCACTCTGCCCTCCCACAGGTCACAGACAAGGCACCCAAGCCCCTGCCTCTCTGCCCCTTCACCCCCTCCCATCTTCGCGCTGGTCACACCAACGCTCTTCCTGCAGCGCCCACCCCCAGTCCCCAGAAACAGGCTCCGGTTTCTTTCATCCATTAAAGACGTTAACGTTGAGGAATCCTGACTTTGTACAGTTAATGCCCAGGCTGTTATAGGGGCACAGGGTGGGGGCGACTAGGGATCAGCAAGTTACAGGAAAGGGACCCAGGGAAATGAGGAGGAGCCCCTTTCCCTTGTCGTCAGCGGGATGGGAGCTGCTTCCCTCCTCCACCCTCTCCCTCCACCATGTTCAGCCTCACTT